CATGGCGTTATGCAAGTCATGCCATAGATAACCATTCCTCGAAGATCTCGTTCGAGTTATTTTTTAAAGTCATCCACCCTATCTTCTCCAATGTCATTGTTGGACCATCTTGTTTAAACCCAAGGCTCGATGATGAAAAACATATTGTCACGCCCTCATAACTTCAAGCCCAAAACTATCGGAATATAAGGGTTAAGGTCTGACGGGTCGTGCGACCTTAGACGTTTCTCGGTTTTCTCTCCGACTAAGTAAGCTTTACTCAAGCCTAGTGAGCATACAAACTCACAAAGGTTGGAACCAAGCCCTCAAGGCTTCTATGATTGCAGAAGCTTTAACACCAACGTGGCTACTCCAAGCCACCAAGATCGGACTATCGTGTAGAAGTGCAAACACAAGTGTGACTACTCCTGGCCACCGAGATAGGCAACAACACAAAGAGAACAAAGAACTAAGAACTCTGAAAGTATATAGTAGATGTCTCAGAGCTTTATTACTCTCCAAAGAGAATAATGAATGATTGAGTGATTACAAATGAGGATGAGAGCTCTCTATTTATAGTTGAGCTCCCTCTCAATCAATGGCTAAGATCGTTTTACATCAACAGCTAGGATTGGATCTTACCTAACATCAAATCCCTTAAATCAAGAAAATCCCACAGATTATCATTCTAGAATCTTCCAAGGAACGGGCCAGGTCTGATGGTTCTGGACAAGTCCAACACTCTGTAGTATTCTCTTACAAAAATCTGCGCACACATGTCTCGGTCCGAATCCACGAGCCTTGACAAAATTGCCCCCATCGCACATGTAACACCCTCGTCGCTTCTTTCGGACGCCTCCGAATTTATCCTTTACGGACTTGTAAGCATTCTCCAAGAACTGGGCTAAGTCTGGTGGTTTTGACAAGCCCAATATTCTATTTTGAACCTCATTGTCGGACACTTGCATCAATGTCTCGGACCCAAGTTCATAGCACGTGACAATATACAATTGAGAAGCAAAGGCCAATAGAAAGGGGGTTAAGGAGTCAATATTTTTGCTTTGGAGGTTCAGGCTGACTGTTAAAACCTTAACCAGTAGGTAAAGGAAAATCCAGCCATGGTCTCAATGGCTTGAGTGGTCGACTCTGACTTTGGGTATTGAAATGATCTGAAGACCAACCATCACCTGCCCTTTTGTCGGAAGGTGGAGCCGTGATCAACATTTAGGGGTGAGTTATGAGTGTCAAATTTTTTTAAATTATTCGAGTTGATGAGTCCTCTTTTATAATTTAAATTTTATTTGAAATTTTTTCGAGTCGAGTTTATAAAATTTGAGCCGAATCGAGTTGTTCGAGTTTCTGTTTAAATCAAACTGTAAATATTTATAATATTATGATATTGTTTTATTCTAATTTAAACGGTTTTCTATAACCATATGCAATACAAATATATTTCTTCTTATTTTTCATATATAATGTACATATATCATATATGGTTGAGAGACTTTACTCGAACTTGAAAATCAATACACTAATTATTAAAAATTTGCGAGTTATTATTTGAATTTTACTTTATAACTCGACTCGAATTTAAAATTTATTCAAGTCGAGTTAATTTAAGTTGAGTTCTTTCAAGTCGAGTCGAATTTGACTCACCTCCATCAACATCCCAACACGATGTTTCTTTCTCCCCACATATAGAGGAGAGAAATAACAAGAAGAAGAAAGAAAATGAGAAAAAAAGAAGAAGCTTTTTATAAAGGATTAAAATGACATCGTTTTAGTTTAAGTTTAATTTTTTTAAAGATTTAAAATGACATCATTTTGACGTTGGTTGTCATGTCATAACATCATTAATTATTTAACGGCGGAATGACCTAAACAAGAGCAATTCTAAAGTTGAGTAGTAAATTGAAAATCTTTAAACTTCAATGACCAAAATAGAAGCAAGAAATAGTTCAGTGATGAGTGGTAGTTTACCCAATTTTTAATTTCTGTTGTTTGTAAATAACGGCAGTTTTAATCTACGCTAGACTATAACTTTGATTTCTAGCTTATTTATTTATTTCTTTTCACACTATTGTTGGACAATTACGAAAGTAGTTTAAGTTGGGGCAGTTGCTTTCTTGCTTTAGGACCCCATTTTCTTTTTCTTAAATTCAAAATTTAGACTTCTTATTTTGTTTTAATTACTTCAAACAATATCATCTTAATTTTTAATTTTTTTTCGTCTCTTTTAATATTTACAATTTTTTTTAATTTTTTTTAAATACATTAATTAACGAAAAAATTTCAAACATGTTAAGTTGATATTAATTATTTAATATTTTCGTTAAATTTTATATTTTTAAAATATTTACAAAATTGACAAGATAATTAACAGCAGTATTAACAAAAAAAACGTGAGTTTAAAAGACTTGTTATTTTTACTTGTTCTATCAACTGATTCAATCAACAAATAAATAAACTAAAAAATAAATTAAATTTAAAAAATGAATCTAACATTTTCAAAGTTTAAAATATCTTTAAAAGAAAAAGTGGCGCCCTGAGAAATATGTTTCACCGACTATTGAATATAGAAAGACGGGGCAAATAAGGTGGTGGACCGATATTAAAGTAATGGATAAACTACATGTTTAGTATCTAAATTATTCCTTTTATTTTGTTTTAATACTTAATATTTATGTTTTTTAAAATCATGCTTAAAGTTTAATTTAAATTTTAATTTGGTACCATATTTTTAAAACTTAACGACACCGATGATGTGGAATTTACATTACAAGACCCATGAAATATCGAAAAAGGGAAAATAATTCCATGTCATTGTTTCTGCTATGTTTTTAATGACTGATACTAAATCGGAACTTAAATTAAACGTTACATATAGTTTTTAAAAAAAATAAAGTTTAAGTACTAAAAAGGAATAAAAATGATAGTTTATATACTAAAATTATAGTTTACCCTAAAATACTAGTGTCACATTTTGTTCTACCTGTGGAATTTCGCCGTCTTTTTTTGTGGTGTACACATTATGAGGAGGTATTCCGAGCCCTAAAAAAAACTATATTATGTTTTTTACATTTAAAAATATTTTAATTTATTAAAAAATTATTCCACATTAAATCAATTTAAATTTAAAAATTATTTAATTTAAATTAATCAATATTTTTATAATTATCTCATACATTCGACATTGAAAAACTAAAAAAGAATACATTCGATAAATAATAATTTTTGAGTCGAATCTAAATATAACTCGATTTATCAAGTGAGTTGAATTTGATTATACGAATGCTTCACTCAAATTAATAAGCCTAATTAAACATTTAGTTCTTCAAAGTAAAGCTCAATCAAGCTTCAAATCTTCAAATTTGGAGTCGAGATCAAATTTAATCACTCTAACTTTTAAACTTATTTTTTTATTATATATTAATAAAAGTAATAATGTCACAAAAATTGTTAATAAAATAAATTAGAGTGATTAAAACATGATCAATTTGAAAGTTGAGTAGTTAATTAAAAACTTTTAAACTTTATTGACCAAAATAAGAGTGAGAAGATAAATAAGTGACGAATGATGTAATTACCCATAAAAATGTCACATGCAACAGTTCCGTTAAGTTTAACGGTAGGATACTAAAATGAAATAAAAAATAAATATTATGCATGATTTTAAAACGAATGAAAGTTTAGGTACCAAAATGAAACAAAATTTATAATTTAAGTACTAAATATATAGTTTATCCTAAAATTAAAATCAAATAATTTCGTAAGGTATTAATCATAGTCAAATATATCGAAATTGTTTTTATGATTACATGTGACTTTCTAGAATAAAATAATTAATGCAAAATTTGTAATAAAAGCAAATGATTTTACAATTTAAATTTTATTTTTGTGTGTGAACGAAAACGTTTCCCACAAGAAACGAGAACATGGTGTTGACTTTTCCTTTCAATAAAATATAGAAATTTGTTGTATTCTTGGAACTTCCGTTAGGCTTACACACACACAAATGTTTGCTGGTGGAGCTGTTATCTGATATAGACGTAAGGATCATTTTAATATTCTATGTAATCGAGTTTCTATTTTTTAATATTACATTTATTAGTTAATTTAATTTTAAATATTATAAAAATTCTTTTTGAGAATTATTCTCTTAACTTAATTTATTTTATTTACAGTATAAGGATTTGAAAATTATTTAAGATATTTATTGTATAATATCGATAGATCAACTGTTAATGGATATTAATAATTCATTTTAAAATGATTAACAGACATAACGACTAAACCTTAAATCTTTTTATCTACGGTTCACATTTATTTTTGAACTTATATTTTTGGTCATTCGGATTATATGGCATAAACTTGAAGTATTATATGTCAAAAGGACTAAAAGTGAAAGAAATTGTCAAGTTTAGAAGTTATATGGGAAAAAGATTTCTATTCAGGGACAAAATTAAAATAATTATCCAATTGAGAGACTAGAAAGTACTTTATTCAGTTGTTCTATTCATTGAGAATACCATCGTTCATGAATTTAATAGCGTTAATGGTCTAAATATTTAAAAGTGTAACGTTATAAATAAGGAGATATTTTTAACAATCTTTTTAATTAAATAATTTAAACAATTATTTTTACTTAAAGCTAAAAAATAGTTTTTGGAAAATCTTTTCTACAGTAGTCCTTTTCAATTCGAAAAAATAGTTTTAGGACCATTTCTTTTTACAGTAGTCCTTTTCAATACGAAGTCTTCTCTGTTCCTCTGACTGTTCATTTTTGAATGCGCGTTCATCCTCTTTCATTGTTTTCAATTCTAAGTCTTCGTTTCAATTCAACATTAAACCCTTTTGTGCTTGGTCTCAATTGGACCATATTTTCATCAGCTTAAAAGAGACGACAAAAGAGAAGGAAAGTTCATTTGTGACTGGTGCACAATTTTTCTTCTATGATCTTTTTTTCAGCGCACTGATCTCAGCGGAAAACGGGGAATTTTAGCTTCCCTGAGGTTAACACCAACTGTACCGAGGGAACCCAAGTCAGCTTTAAAGACGACAATCTTCCTTGTTCTTCGTCTCTTTCAGTTCCGTTTAAAAAAAACTAAGTTCAAAACCCAGAAAAAAGCTAAAAAAAAGAAGGAAAATTGAAGGCTAAACATGAAATCTATGGAGTTTTCAGCCTTCAAACAATCACACTGGAGATGGGCTTTCTTGTTTATCTTTTCTTTGTTCGTTTCCACCTCTTTCTCTGATCCAAGGATCACAATCGCCGGGCTTTTCTGCGGCAATTCTCGGGCGCCAAACGGGACGAACTACGTTCCGGATTTCACTGAAGTGATGAAACAGTTGTCAAATCAGATCAACAATAATATCTTTGCTTCATATCATCTCAACTCTACGCCTCCAATGTATGGTTTGGCTCAGTGCCATGGAGATTTGGACCAAACGGATTGCCTCCTTTGCTATGCCGAGGCAAGGACTCGAATCCCACGTTGCCTTCCTCGCTCGGCTCGAATCTTCCTCGATGGCTGCTTCTTGCGTTACGATTATTACCTGGATTTCTTTCACGAATCCGTTTCGTCAACTTTCGATGCCGTTAATTGCAGTTCCAATAATGTAACAATGGTCGGTCAAGATAACAACAGCAGGATGATTTTGTTTGGTAGAAACGTTGACCATGCGGTCGGGAATGTAACGAGTATTGCTTTGAGAAGAAACGGATTTGGGGCGGTCGGGGTGGATGGGGTGTATGCATTGGCGCAGTGTTGGGAGAGTCTTACGCCGGCGGAGTGTCGGCAGTGCCTGCAGAAGGCGGCAGAGACGGTGAGAGGATGCGTGCCCAAGGAGGAAGGGAGAGCTTTGAATGCTGGGTGCTATTTGAGGTACTCCACAAGTAGGTTCTATAATGAAGGGGCCGATTCTGATGGTCACAATGGTAAGTCTTTTGCCTTCTGTTTTTCTTTTTTAGAGACGCTGAGCTTGATTTTAATGTAGAAATGGACTGAATTTATGTAGAAATGATCATGCTTGAGTGTTGGATATGTGCTTGATACGAGTATCTACAACATTTTTTCCTGGATTTCTATGTATTGTTTAGATTATTTTTTTGGCTGGTCTAGAGTAGATTCTGCAATTCATTTTAGCTTATTTTGTTGGATTTAGCCTTTTAATGTATTCTGTTGATATCTGGTTGGTTGCTGGACTTTCTGCTGGAACCACTGGGATTGTTGGGTGGTTTTGTTTAAGATTGTCATAGATACATAGCTGTATCAATGTAAGGATTTTTGGACTAAAAGTTCTATAAGGTATTATTCGCTTCGGATATAAGCAAGTTCGTACGGTTTTGTCATTCGAAAATGTGCTGCGGTTGCGGTAGGGGAAGCGTGATCCTTATTTATGGGGCTAGTTTTGAGGGAAAAACAATTCTACATGAACTAGTGTGGCACATTTTCATAAAGAAGGAAACTTTAAAAACTGTCTTTACCTCCAAAGCAAATAATAGCTCATAGCAGGTACAGTTTGATAGTCGAGTCGACAAGTTTGAAATTTTATTTCACTTCCTAGTTGAATTACAATGTATTCTTTTTCTATTTTCCAGGGCTCTCAATTGGAGTCATTATAGCAATTGTCTCAGCATCATCTGCATTCCTAACACTTGCTGTTGCAGCAGCTTATGCTACATATGCAAGATTATCAAAAAGGAAAAGAGGTACAAAATCTTAATCTTCAAAAAATTGCGCTGAAAAGTATATATCAATGGTGTTCATATCCAATCTTATGCATTAGTCCTCTGTTCTATATTAACCATCAAATTCTTTTCCCAGAGCTAAAAAATCTGGGCCGGATTTCGAAAAGGTTCAACAATTCAGGTTTGAAGTTCAAGTATGAAACTCTTGAGAAAGCAACAGATTATTTCAGCCCTTCGAGGAAATTAGGACAAGGAGGAGCTGGTTCAGTGTTCATGGGGATTCTTCCTGATGGAAAAACCGTAGCTGTAAAGAGATTGATATATAATACGAGGCAATGGGTCGACGACTTCTTTAATGAAGTAAATTTGATCAGCAGAATTGAACACAAGAATCTGGTAAAGCTTCTTGGTGCTAGCATTGAGGGCCCAGAAAGTCTCCTGATTTATGAATATGTGCCCAACAAGAGCCTTGATCAGTTCATTTTTGGTAATGTCTCTTTAATAAATTTGCCTTCATTTTTGTCTCCTTCCTTGATATATTTAGATTGATTTTAGAACTTTGAATCTGCTGTTGGTGGCAACATTGTGAAGTTCTCCATTTCCAGGGCTTAAGTTACAGTCATAGATGTGTTTTCGATCATCGTGTTGTGACCACTGTTTAAATCTCCCTGCCCCATTCTTAGACTCGAGGGTTTTAAAGCATTGTCAAATTAACATAAACATAATCTTGCAGCTCTAGTAATTCTACTCTGGGTTTTAAAGATTGAACATGCCTATGTCAAACACACATCGTATTCCACACTCAAATTCACACTCATGTCTAATTATATGTCTGAAACAGATAATGAGAAAAAACGAAAAACTAGAAAATGGCGGGGAACAATTTTCTGTTCCTATCTCATATGTGTAGATGATTTTAGTTTCAAATGTAGATGATTTAGTTTTCAAATGCAGATGAGGAGAAATCAAAACTTCTAAACTGGAAGCAAAGATTCGATATCATTGCCGGAACAGCTGAGGGTCTAGCGCATCTTCATGGAGAAGGTTCTCCCGTAAGGATAATCCACAGAGATATTAAGTGCAGCAATATTCTTTTAGACGAGAATCTTAATCCAAAAATTGCGGATTTTGGGCTTGTTCGATGTCTAGCTACCGAGAAGAGTCATCTTAGCACTGGGATTGCTGGAACACTGTAAGTTTACGAAAGATTTATCTGGTATTTCATACAACATTGGTTGAAATGGATCTGATAGATTGTAAGACATTACGGTTTCCATTGAAGTGTTCTTAATAACTTCGTTTGAGATTTTCGTGCAGAGGATACATGGCTCCCGAGTACCTTATTCGAGGGCAACTTTCTGAGAAAGCTGATGTTTATAGTTTTGGAGTACTTGTTCTTGAGATTGTATGTGGTAAAAAGAATAGCAGCTTCACAAAGTCCGGTTCCCTTCTACAGACAGTAAGCTCCCAATGTAACAACCCGGTTTGAGTTATCTCTCCTGTGTCACTGCACGTATCAGGATTCGTTTTTTACCCTCTCATACCTTCAATGTAAATGAATGTGGAGGTGATGAACTAATCCCTGTATGTGCGGAGATGCAAGGAAGACAACCAAAATACAATCATTACACCCAAATCTAAACTTCTCAATAAATTGTTTAGATTATTACTTTTTGGTGTTCTTAGATCATTAATTTGAGATTTTCAACCCCAGGTTTGGACACTTCACAAATCATATGCCTTGGCTGAAGCTGTTGACCCTTGCATTAGAGATGAAATGTCGGCAAAAGAGGCCCCCGGTGTGCTCCAAGTTGGGCTATTATGCACACAAGCTTCAGTTCTCTTAAGACCATCGATGGCAGAAGTGGTTCAGATGTTAACGGATAAAGATTACGAAATTCCGATGCCTAACCAGCCGCCATTTCTAAATGCTAATGTGCTTGGAACAGCAACTTCATCAGGATCTTACAGCACAGACAGTTTCATATCAAATGCTTTGAGGAAAATTCAGGGTTCCGGTACTTCCTCCGAATCTTCCAGGACTCAGTAATTCGGATGGTTCAACGAAAACACAATTATCATTCCATGGAAGCGAGATTATAATGACCGATATTCGAGTGTCTCTTTTGCATCACTGCACGTAACCGTAAGTTTCGAGAGACCTATGAATGTCCAAAGATGACAATACCTTTGAAGTAAGTACGCTAGAAGACATCCATATCCCAGTGCATCCGGTGATTTGAGCATCACATCGGATTGCCGGATATGACAGAGTTCGTATGAAGGTATAAGCTTGAATCCCAAGGATTATGTTGCAAAAATTTTGGAAGGTCAGATGCTTAAGTAATAAATATGTTAAGTTGATGTTAGTTGTTTTGTTTTTCTACTAAACTTTATATGTATTTTTTTGAATATTTCTATATGGTAAATATTTTTATTATTTTTAAATGTTTACATAAAATAATAAGATAATTGACATTAATACCAACAACACAGTACAATAAACAACACGAGTTTAAAAGATTGTTATTTTTACTTTTTATATCAACTGATTCAATCAACAAATAAATAAAAATTTAGAAACCAAAAAATAAATAAAAATTTAAAAACAAATTTAATAAGTTCAAGAGTCGAAAACATCTTTGAAAGAAAAGAAAGGTGATGCCGTGAGAAATACGTTTCACCGACTATCCAATTAAATTAATGGGGCAAATAAGCCAGATGGTGGACCGATATTAAAATAATTAAATGTCACATTTTGTTGTACCTGTGTAATTTCGCTGACCTTTTTTTTTTAACAGTTGGTAGAACATAAGGTTCTTAATCTTAAGGTCGTGGGATCGAATTTCATGGAAGACATTTCATAATTTGGAGGTCTCCTACGTAAGTTACTCTCAACCTAGTGTTGGGGACAGCCTACTATCTTACCTCCTCTTACCCCATTACATATGAGAACAAGGGACAACCATTTATTGCAGACTTGCAGTGTACACATTATTATAGGTATTCCGTGTTGATCGCTACCCAAAAAATTATTTATATACCTTTTTTATAATTAAAATTAAATAAAAATATTTAATTTAAATTAACTGAACTCGATAATTTAATTTTTTATCTTAAATCAAACTCGTATTTCTTACTATTAGTGTCTGACTCAACTTGAATCGACTCGAATATACTCCTAAAACAAATGCACTCTTATCTCTCGACTAGGAGTTGGCAAACACGAGGGGGGAAAGTTAAGTATTCTGGCAATTACTATTTTTCATAAAAACACAACAATTGACAGTAAACGGGAAACGACAGTCCTATGGTTGCGGGTTACAGGAAGTGATATCCGGCATCATCAGGACAGGAGGGTCGGGGGAAGCTGTTGTTTTCCGGGGATAGATTTTCGACTCGAACAAGCATTTCTGTCATGGAGCTTTTGATGATCGTTTGCACCCTCTTCCAGTCTCCTCAATCTACTTTCTTCAATAATAATGGAGCCATGTTTTGCAGTCCTCGTTCTTCCTTTGAAAAAGAACCACCGTCTTCCGGACTCCGGTATAAGATCTGATGAGGAAGAACACAAGCCATATATTCAACATTATCGTATCTTTTTGTTATATATTCCAATGCAAACAACGGGTTTTTAAGTAAGTGAAGACACTCAGCCTCAAAATCAAATATAATGGCCCAACAGTAGCCCCAAACAAGTTGGCCCGTTCCAAGCCAAACCCTAGCAGTTTCTCTCTCACCAGCGCCGCATCTCCAAGTAACCCAGGTTCCTCACGCTGCACGCCACCAATCCCGACTCTTTCGGCGCAAGGAGGGCACGAAGATCCTTCAATAACAACCCACAACCAATTATCCCGGTTCAACAGCAAACCAATAGCAAATATCAGTTTTTAACTAGGAATCAAACTCCCAAAAATAGGATGGCTTGAATATTATAAATAGCATGTAATCCTTAATGTAATTTTACAGAGGGTGGATAGGCAATAAAGAGCAGAAATTACAAGCAAATCATATCCATTTCCGAAGCACTTATATTTCGAAAAAAGGTAAAAAAATCGTACCTTTGCATGTTATTTTCGTGCCTTTTTTGTGTTTTGATTCAAGAGTAACTCCAAAAAAAACGTCTTGAGCCAATGACCAAGAGGGAGATTTCGAAGTTTTTGACTTCAGATCAATGTTCCCCAGAGGTTTTCTTTCGCAAAAACAAAACATTTTGTAAACTGAGGGTACGAAGAGCTCTTTGAAAATCAATTTTTTTTTCGAGTATTGCCGCAGATGAATGGCGGCCGGCGCCGTTGGCCGTGTTCTGGGTTTTCATGAACCCAGGCGGTGGCCGGTTCTTCATAATGAAGAACAGAAGAGAGCATTTGCTTTGACGAGAAGAGATGAGTCGGTTTTTTTGAGATGGAAAATGAAAGAATTAGAAAAAATTTTGGCTTGTATATTAAGCCCATTCGACCCGCTTGGATCGTGACCCGACCCGCGTGTTCCCTCAGACCCGCGTGTTTTTAAAACGCAAATGGAGCAATCTCGTTTTTGGTCCCTCGCAGATTTAATTCATTTATTTTGGCCCTAAATCCTAATTTAAGCCCTGATTCTCTCTTAATTTGGTCATGTAATTCGATTTTCCTTTCAATTCAATCCCCCACATTTGACTGTAAATCTCAAACTCTCTTTAAATTGGCCCACAATTTTCTTTCTGTTTACATTTTAGTCCTTGTTATGTGTATTTAACTATACCGCTTATTATTTATTATTTTGTTTCCTTTTTATCCTTTCCGTTTTTGTATTTATTATACTTTTTTAGTATCTTATTATTATTTTTATATATATAAACATATTGTTTATTTTTTATTTATTGTCACTAACGTGTGTATATATATCTTATTTAGTTTCCTCTTTATTATTATTGTCTACGTACATATTTAGTTATCTTTTCCCAATATATATATATTTTTTACTATTACTTAATTATTTTTATTTATTAATCTTATGTATATGTATATTTTTCATTTTATTGATTTTCCTATTATCTTTACCTTTGTTATTATTATTTATATCATATTTTATTATATATTACATGTCATTATTTATACATAGATATGTAAATGTATTATTTTTTATTTACTATGCTTTTTATTATTATATTTTGTTCTATACGTTTATTAACTTTATTTTAATTCCCTACTATTATCTTACTAATATTATATTTTTTATATATATCTATTTATATTTTATGTTCATTTACTATTATTATTTTTATCTAACATTTTTGACCTTTTTAATAAGAGTTACAACCAATCAGAGGTAAGTTCAGGGATCGCTATTTTACCTTTTAAATTAAAGTTACAATTTTTCTTAATTAAGACAACTGGAAATTATATAGTACCGAAAGGGCAGTTCAAGGGTGCTAACCCTTCCTTGACTGTAATCGACTCCCGAATCCGACATATCCTTGGTAAGACGCAGATCAGGTAAGAAATAAGGTATCCGATCAGCCCATTTTTCATAAAATAAATGATCGGTGGCGACTCCAATCCACATTTTCCAAGTCGAAGCCCAATTCCGGGGCCCAACCGAAAGACGGGTACGACAGCTTGGCGACTCCGCTGGGGACACAAGTAAGTGAGTCAGGCTAAGGTAATTTCCAGTTGTCTTTTTAACGAAAAGGGTAAGTTTAAATTTTAAGGTAATATTTCGATCCTTATTACTTATTTTCGATTATATTTTTCGAGTAAATAGTTGAACTGACCGTTTTCTAATGATTTCAGCTTTCCAAACATTTTCATCTAAGGCTCTAAACCCGAGCTCCGAACCCGTTTTAAGTGGGGGTGAAAGCGACGCCTTCGTGTGAATTTATTCACCGTATGGGCCTAGCAAGTAGCCTTCGGGATTCATATACCTTATGCCTTCGTGTGAATTTATTCTCCGTATGGGCATAAGGGAATGTGTCCTCTCGAGTTTAACTTAGTCCACATAAGCCTGTGATGGGTTTCGGACTAAGGGTCTGGTCGGTCCAAGGGGGCGCCAGCAAGGAGAACTCGAGTACCGTTTTTAGAACCCAAAACGGGAGGCTTTGAATAAATAGAGCCTACCCCAAAACCACATTCCAAAACCTAGGACATTTCTTTCCTAACCTTTTTATTTTTTATGTTTTTTTCATTTACCATTTATTTTTATTTATTTTTATCTATTTCTATTTTACTAACGCTTTTGCCTTTGTGTTTGTTTTCTAGCATTTGCATCATTACAAGAGGCTATTGATCCCTAAAAAACGTTTGTTATACACAAAATAATTCGAGTTAATGGACAAAGGTGTTGTAATACAAGAGATTGAAAACGCTGAGGCACGACTATGGTCCGAGAAGGCTCAGAAAGAGAAGGGAGACAGTCTTCAGGGAAACTATGTGTCAGAACTGGTTAGTTATGCCGCTGTCAGCCTGAAACAGAATAATGTCCAGGAGCTGCGAAACATTTGGGACAGTTGGAAGAATGACAGAAAGCAGAAGTTCAGCCAACGATATGGTGATATCGCCCTCTTGCTCCATGTCAAGACTGATGAGCCCTTACTCCGAGCATTAATTCAATTCTGGAATCCGGGATATAGTTGTTTCACCTTTAACCAGAAAGACATGGTGCCTACTATCGAAGAGTATACTACTCTACTACACTGCGAAAGCATCAAGCTTGAGCGAGCCTACATTAAACACATCAAAAGCCAGCCCTTCAAGAATGCACTGGCCAAAGTTGCAGGAGTAGATGAGAAATGGGTAATCGATCGGACTCAGCGTAGAGGCAGTGGAGAAGGAATTGAATGGATACACATAAAGCAACTAATGAAAAACCACCCTGATGAGTGGAAGACTATAGACCTGTTTGCACTGGGTCTGTACGGTTTGATCATATTTCCGAAGGCTTTGGGGTGCATTGACGCTGCCGTGGTGGAACTATTTAAGCAACTTTCTAAACGAGTTAACCCAGCACCAGCCATCTTGGCTGAGACCTTTCGATCGCTCAACTATTGCCGAAGAACTGGCGGAGGAAGATTCACCGGGTGCATTCAGCTCCTTCAGGTCTGGATTCACAGCCACTTCTGGAAGACTGACGGGGTTGCCTACCGCCGTTTCAGCACCACCTATTCACCCCTAGGTGAATTTATTACCTTAAAATGGCATGAAGGCGCTTCAAAAGAAAAATGGATGAAGGTCTTTACGTATCTTCAAGATCGAGATATTGTCTGGAGAGCCCCTTGGTTATTCCTCAGTGATGTTCTTTTTCGATGTGGTGACTCCGACACTGTGACCTTACTTGGACTTTGGGGAGCAGTCGGGTATGCTCCGCTA